ATGGTATGGAGTGTATGGGAGCTCCAATCAGCCACATACATCGAGTGTAACAAACTTCATCCAAGTTTAAAAGTTCAACACTAACTCCTGATCTGAGTCCTTTTTGCTGGCTGGAATAGAATAGTCTAAGTAGCATTTCACTGTTTTTGCTGCCCTCGAGGCTTGTGTAAATATGATGCTTGTGCATTTTTTATGTTGTAGCTTTCCCCATCCCTTTATCTCCTTACCGGTACTATCCTCAAATACGGGCATTTTAATTTGTCATTGTTGATAATCTTCCTTCCTGTTACTTCCATGCTATTGAAATCTGAAAATCTGCAATTTCCTTTATCGATAGCTCTATTGGCAAAGTAGTCTGCTAACTTATTTCCTTCTCTAAGAGTGTGTTGGAAAATATGTTGTTTATCTTTCATGCATGCTTTAATTTCCTCCACCATATCTGCTATTATCTATGGGACTAACCACTATTCTTTAAGTACCTTGCACATAAGCATTGAGTCAGTCTGAATGATGATTTGATTATACTGTGACTGTTTGCAATGTTTACATGCTTCTAAGATAGCTTTCGCTTCCGCCACTGTGTTAGTAGTGTTCTCCATACTTCCTCCCTCTGCATACTTGATGTCTCCTCTATCATTTCTTAGGCAAAATGCATAGGAACTTAGGCCTGGGTTTCCTCGTGAAGCTCCATCGGTGTTGTACTTTAGCCAACCTTCTGGTGGGTATTCCCACAATACCTTTATTACTTCATCCTAGGCATGTATATTTCCAACTCGCTTAGCATACCTGGCCAATCACTAGATCATTTCCTCCTTGGATGTCTCAATTGCAACAACATGTACATGTTCCTAGTGACATTATATATGATTCGTGACACTGATGTTTTCTTCCCCTCGTGTTTCATCCTATTTCTCCTTCTCCAGAGCTCCCAGATCACAAAGCTAGGTAGAGCCCTATAAAGAGGTCTTAGTGCTTTTTTTGTATTTGCTCCCCACCATACCATTATAACTTCTCTTAATTGGAGTCCTGATATGCTTAGACCTGCAAAAGAGCAAAAATAGGACCAGGTCCTGTTAGCAGTAAAGGATCGAAGAAACACATGAGTTAGTGTTTCCTGATCAGGTCTTTCACAGCACCAACATTTAGAAGGGCCTTCCAGTCCCCATCTTCTCAGTCTATCATCAACAGGAATTTTGGATTTCCAAAGTCTCCACATCATGAAGGCCATCTTAAAAGGAACCCCTTTTGTCCAAATCCACTTATAAATTTTGTTGGGTTCCTCTTTGTGCCTTATATACTGCCTTGTTGCCTTAACAGTAAAAGATCCCCCTGAATCCAACATCCAACAGGGTGTCTTTCTCCTCTTTACCCGTAGGAGGGTGGATATGTTGTATAATGTATTCTGCTAACTCTAGAGGGAGAATATCCTTCAATATCCCTACATTCCATTCTCCCTGTATATATATGTGGTGTCTTTGTTTTCTTCGTCATATTTGTTTTCTTCTTTTCTTTCATCAATTTTCTTCTTGTTGTTTGTGTACTTCTTTTGATTCATCATTCTAGCTTATATCTGGTATCTGTTTTTATTAATTTATGTTTTTTTCCTTTTTTCTTTTTTTTGTTTCATCGTTTTTTTCTTAATAAATATATAATTTTTACCCACATTATTTTTTTAAGAAAATATTGTTTAAAAATATGATTGTGCTAAAAAAGAAGTGCACTAATAAGATCCTAAGCATGAGAAATAAATGCATTCTCGCGAAATCAAATCAGAAGCTATTTCCGCTCTACCATGAATTGTTGCTATTTCCGCACCCCTGTCCGGTGGTTTGATCATCATGACCACAATAATGTCAAATATTTGGGTTGATATAACTGAGACAGTAACTCGACAAAAATTTGGCCTGAACTGGGAGATACCAATCAAATATTCGATATGTTTTTAGGAAAAACATAGTGAACATCACAAAGACAAAATGATTCAAAAGAATGCTTCTATTAGAGGTGGTTGCCTCAAATTTCAAGTGACTTGACTTGGTAGACAACAACACGTAGTTCTTGAAACTCCCTATTGACATTCCTAAATGTCATCTACAAGAATGAAGATGTCAAGTAGTAGAATCAAATGAAAATATCAAATCAGCTAGGAGAAAGAATCAAATTATGTTATTAGTTGCTAGAAGAAAACAGGGCAAAAACTTGAAATTTTGTTACTGAAAAGTGTGGATGATCGAGTAGTGTGCATGACTATGTTTTATATAGAGATAGAGGGTGAAGAGTCATCTGTTGTGTGTTGGGGTATTCTCGTTGGGGGTTGGGTAGGAAGATGTGTGTAGTGTTCACGTGTAAGGTCAATTATCAATTTTAATCAACTTAATAAATTTGAGTTAGCTAGAAATATAACTTTTAATATTTAAATTATTTGAATAAATAATTGTAATGACCCTGAAGGGCATTTTTGAAAATTATTGGAGAATTATCATTTTATCCCTTGCGATAGTTGCACTAAGTCATGTTGGATTAGCTAATGAGATTAGTTTTTTTAGTCGGATAAAAAAATTGTAATTTTTTAGAGTTTTAGAGTTTTGGAGGCTTTAAGTTGTTAAAAGTGATTTTTGTCAATACTTGGAGCTACGAGTCTCAGGATGAAATTATGTCACCTCCATCAGCTCTGGATTGCAAAATTGATTTTAGGAGGGTTGTCATTATCAATTTGAAGTCTTTATGTCGATTTGATCTCTTTAGTTGGAAGTTTAAGTGAATTTAGTTCAAGAGTTGGCTTTAGTCAATATTCAGAGTTATAATTTGCTATAAAATCCTAATTATAACTATGAATTGTAATTATTTAAACTATAGTGGTTTATGATAAATACATATTAAATATTTATCTTGTTATGTAATTTTTCCTTAAAAATACCCTTAAAACTTATTTTTGGGCTCAAACATACCCCTCAACCTAACATAAGTATTTAGGTGAACTTTAACTCTTTAAAAAATCACATGACATTTGTTAATTGGCGCCACATTTTAATTCATAATGATTAAAACCCACCTAAACTTTAAAATCAAAACTCATGACTGACCGTTTTAACCAACAAAATTAAACATACATTCTAAAAACGTGTTTAAATTTTAAGTTAGCGTTTGGCCATAGATTTCCAAATATTCTTGGCAAATATTATTTGGGTGAAAATTTGGGTGAAATTTCACCATGTGTTTGGCCATATATTTGGGAAACATATTTCACTTTATTAAAAAAATATGATTTATACCCATAAGTTTTAAAAACTATCAAAACTAACCATAAGTTTGTATTACAAGTCAATTGGATCTTCGTTGCAACAAATAACAAGCAGTGTCCGTGACACTAGAGCAATGTGGTAGTTCTGAGTGAGTGCAACAAGCATCATTCCATACATTGTGAAGTAGAGAAAGCACATGACTTTCTTACCTTGAGCCGATTGTTCATCATTTTCATCAACAGCCATATAATCACTTTCATATATATTCACTGAATATTTCATCACTACTTTGGTGTTCACGTAAAAAACTATGTAATACAACGCAAATAACTACTATAGAGGGTGTTTTTGTAAAGAATAAAAGTTTGGTGTAAAATTTCAATTTTTAAAAAATCCCAAATAATGAGATTTGGCCCAAATACAAGAAAAAACTAGTATTTGGGAATTTGGATATTTGCCAAAAATATTTGCCAAATAATGACAAATTGTATGAACAAACACTATTTGCCAAATTTTTCTCCAAATATTACTTGAGAAATCTATGGCCAAACGGGTCCTTAAATTTGGGTTGGTTTTAATTTATTGTGAATTAAAACTAAATAAAATAATTAAATCCAAATTTCCCGTTAGTTTAGTTTTTTCATGTCGGGTGTAATTATTTTTTTATAAAGGAAAATCGTCCCAACATGCTCTACCTCAAATACCGATCTCGCGGAACCAAATAAACTGATGGACGTTCCTCGATTAAATTGATCTTGTCTAATGATCCTTTGTAACTGAAAAATAGATATCCCTAAGTGCATCAATTTGGCAATATATATCGATCTTGATCCTCATTTCAAAAAAAATAAAATAGTTTTAGTAGTACTGAATGTGATACATGCAAGAGGTCATTCAATTACTACAAATATCTATAGAATATGTTTAGCTGTTAGATTCTAATACATGTGATCAGAGAGAAATATGAGATTATTCCAAAAGAAAGCCAAAAATGAAATAGAATTAATGTAATTCATTAGACAAGAAGTCTTTTTTGAGGTAGTATATGGAGAAGAAATTCGAAAGATACATATATTTTTTTTTAAATGAAGAAGTCCCTCAATTTTCTAATTATTTTTTTTACAAAAAATGTTGGACACCAACAATTTTTGAAGTGTAAAATTACAATTGAAGAGTATTAATAAAATCAATGTAAATATTTCATCAAATAATATGTATAGTCAAGTATCCAAAATCAAAGAAAATACTTGGGTTCGATTCTAAGTAGCTATATTTTTTTAAATATTTCTAAAAAAAGAAAAATAAAAAACAAATGGATAGAATCAACTAAGCCTCGGCTTTAACCGATGAAGAGTGAAGACCAAATTGTGATTTTAACCCTCGATTTTAACTCAATTTTTAATAGTACATATACTAGTTCATTACAATTTATTATTTAGCCATATGACCTACTATTATTAAATAATATGGTGGTTTATAATTAGAATTGGTTAAGTCAGTAGTCACGTGAAAGTTGTTATACCAATTTGTATAGTACAAAGTTAGTTACAATATTGTGATGTATAAATAGTTGTAACTTGGATCTGATTCATATATGAAAACATTTTCTCTTCTTCTTCTTACTTGAAAAGCTCTCTATGTTGTAGTCAATAAACCATTGATATGGTTTAAAATGGTATCAGATCCCAAATCGTGAGGGATCGATCTGCGTAGAAAAAGATAAGAACAAGCGAAGAAAAGCTCCTAAAAGAGGCATCAATGCCGACAGAAGAAGCAACATCAATGGCAGAAAATGAAGTCACATCTCTGAATCACAATCATCCACTTTATCTTCAAGCATCTGATGCACCTGGAGTGATCTTAGTCCTAATCAAGCTAACAGGACCAGAGAATTATGCCATGTGGTGTCGCTCGATGAAATTGGCTCTTAGAGGAAAAGGAAAACTTGGATTCGTTGATGGATCGTGTAGGAAGACAGCTTTCAAAGGAGTATTGGAGGAACAATGGAAAAAATGTAATGCAATCGAGTTATCATGGATTGCGAGTACTGTTACAAGTGAATTACTGCCAGGGATTATATATGCTTCAAACGCGAAAAGAGTTTGGGAAGACTTTAAGGAAAGGTTTGATAGGTTAGATCTAACACGAATTTACCATTTGTGGTCTGAAATTGTAGCTCTTAAACAGGGTACTGACTCTGTACGTAACTTCATACTACTCGAAGCTCAGGGATTTGTGGGCTGAATTGGATGTAATGATCCCATCACCATGTTGCAATTTTGAGGATTCAACAGCTTATATGGGACATTTAAGATCACACAGACTTCTACAATTTTTAATGGGATTGAATGAGAGTTTTAGTAGTATTAGAAGTAACATTGTGGCTCAAAAACCAGTAGTAACTGTGAATGAGGCATATGCAGTAGCAGCACAAGAAAGTCAAAGAGCATTGGGAGTTTCAGAGAGAACAAGAGATTATTTAACTCTCTTAGCAGGAAAAGCTCAGACATGCACTCCAAGCCAAAGAAGTTTGTGCCTCCTGATACAATATGTGATCATTGTGGATTCAAAGGTCACTATAAGATTGATTGCTACAAATTGGAAGGATATCCACCAGGATTTCAAAGCAAAAGAAATGGAATTGATGGTTACAAGAATGACTACAAAGTAGCTGAAGGTTTTAGGCCTGACTTCAAACCAAATGCACATTTCACAAAGAATGCTGATGACTTCAATGATAGAGGAAAGCAAGTTGAAGGTGCACATTTCACAAGGAATGTTGATTACTTCAATGATAGAGGAAAGCAAGTTGAAGGTCACATGACACCACCTCAATACCAAGATCTGGTAAACAGGATGGATAGAGCAGAAACATCAGATTGTGTTGCTAATATGTCAGGTATGTCTTCTTTAAACTCAAAACCAGGTAGAGTTTATGAATGGATAATTGATAGTGGAGATACACACCACATCATACCTAATAAGGAGTTGTTGACTGCTATTAAAAGAATACAAGGAAATAACAGTGATGGAGTACAAGTTCCAACAGGAAGTAGATGTGATATCAAAGGAATTGGTACTGCACAGGTTCTAGAGGATCGTGAACTTAGAAATGTCTTGCATGTGCCAGACTTCAAATTTAGTTTGTTGTCAGTGTTGAAGTTAACCAGGGAACTATCTTGTACAGTGTGTTTTTTCCCTGATTTTTGTATTTTCAGGGACTCTACGATGGCAAGGTGTTGGGGATTGGTAAAGAGAGGGAAGGATTGTACATTTTGAAGAAACAAATACAGTCACCAGTGCAGGCTATGGCTACTGCAAATATGAGTAGAGATGCAACATTATGGCATTTGAGATTAGGACATGCCTCAACTGGTATTTTACAGCTTATTCAATCACTGAAGCATTTATCAAACAAGAATATACAACATGAATGTGAGATTTGTCCCCTAGCAAAACAGTGTAGATTACAGTTTGCAAAACATTCAAAGCATTTGAAATAATTCATGTAGATGTTTGGGGGCTATATAGGAAGCCTACTTTTGATAAAAAGCACTATTTTGTCACTATTATTGATGACTATAGTAGATACACCTGGCTATGCCTCATTCACTCTAAAAGTGAGGTTATTGTAGTGCTCAAAGATTTCATTGCCTTAATAAAAAATCAGTTTGGTTTGCCTGTGAAAACCCTGAGATCTGATAATGGTTCTGAGTTTTTCAACTCTTCTGTAAATAATTTACTTGCTTCTCAAGGCATTATACATCAGAGTAGTTGTGCATACAGCTCTCAACAAAATGGCAAAGTAGAGAGGAAACACAGACACATCTTGGAGATGGCACGGGCTTTGAGATTTCAAAGTTCTCTCCCAATTTATTTCTGGGGGTGAGTGTGTTAGGACAATTGTGTATTTGATCAATAAGCTACCTACGGAATTACTTGGAGGTAGATCACCTTATGAGATGTTGTTGAAAAAAGTTCCTAGACTTGATCATTTAAGAGTTTTTGGGTGCTTATGTTATGCAATTCAATTACCAAGAGGAGATAAGTTTGCTTCTAGAGCTAGGAAAGCAATCTTTCTTGGTTATTCAGAAACTCAAAAGGGTTATAGGTTGTTTGATTTAGTTGATAATGTATTCTTTGTGAGTAGATATGTAACTTTCAGAGAATCCACCTTCCCTTACCAAGCTGAACCTGTTAAATCTACTTCTACTGACCTTGACATGTTTGAACTGCAAAATTCAGATTATCTTTCCACCTCTCTCATTAATTCTTCTGATCATCCTAATGAATGCAACACTACTCATATTCCTGATCCTATTATTGAGACCAGTCCTGCTTCCATTCTTGAAGATATTCCCACAATTAATGCCTTACCTTCTTTACAGCCTACAGAAGAACTTCTCCAAATTACATATCAGTCTAAGTCCAGACCTTCTAGAACTATTAAACCTCCTGGATGGTTAAATAATTACATCACTACTTCTAAAGCTAAGCCACCATCTTCCAGTTGTTCCTATCCCATTTCTGATTCCCTCCAATACTCACATTTATCCCCCTCAATACCAAGCATACTTGGGTTCCTTATCTCCTCAAGTTGAACCAAAAACCTTTAAAGAAGCATCTCAAGATTCTAAATGGATTGCAGCTATGACTGATGAACTTTGTGCCTTGGAAAGTAATCACACTTGGGAGGTGGTTGACTTACCACCAGGCAAACAAGCTATTGGCTCTAAATGGGTGTTTAAAATAAAACATAAGGTTGTTGATAAATATAAGGCAAGGTTGGTTGCTAAAGGATATACACAAAATGAGGGGTTAGATTACCATGAAACATTCTCCCCTGTTGCAAAAATGATAACAGTCAGAACTCTAATCAGTGTTGCAGCATCTAAGGACTGGTCTTTGATTCAAATGGATGTTAATAATGCATTCCTTCAAGGTGATTTACATGAAGAGGTTTACATGTCCCTACCTCAAGGTTTTTACAGACAGGGGAAGACTAGAGTGTGTAAGTTGTTGAAATCATTGTATGGCCTGAAACAGGCTTCTAGACAATGGAATATCAAATTATCTACTGCCTTGTTGGAAGCAGGATGCATTCAGAGCTCACATGACTATTCCTTATTCACCAAACATTGTGGAAATGACATAGTTGTAATTCTGGTTTATGTTAATGATTTAATGATCACAAGAAACAGTCAACAACTGATAGATGATGGTCAGAAGACACTGCATAGCAAGTTCAAAGTGAAAGACTTGGGGCAGCTCAGGTACTTTTTAGGGATCGAAGTATTGAGGTCAGAAAAGGAGATTCTACTTAACCAAAGAAAGTATATTTTGGAATTACTCTCCACAGTAAGAATAACAGGAGCTAAGCCAGCTTCCACTCCGATGGAGATGAATGTAAAGCTTACTACACTGGAGTATGACTCAGTAGTTGGAAGTGTTGAAGATCCTGTGTTAAGTGATATTCACAGTTATCAGTAATTAGTTAGGAAACTGATCTATGTGACCATCACCAGGCCTGATATATGTTTTGCAATCCAAGTCCTCAGTCAATTCATACAACATCCCAAGAAGTCACATTGGGATGCAGCATTGAGAATTCTTAGATATCTCAAACAAGCACCTGGGCAAGAGGGGTTATTGACAAGAGGACCTATCACAAGCTTGATAGCATATTGTGACTCAGATTGGGAAAGTTGGCGCCGCCCCAACACCAGGAGGTCAGTGACAGGGTATATAATTCAACTTGGAGATTCTTTAATTTCATGGAAGTCCAAGAAGCAACATACTATCAGTAGAAGCTCAGCAGAGGCTGAATATAGGAGCATGGCAGGCACAGTAGCAGAAATTATTTGGTTAACTGGATTATTAAAGGACCTAAGGGTAGACATTACTACTCCAGTCAGACTCTGTTGTGATAGCAAGGTTGCTATGCAGATTGCTACCAATCCAATCTTTCATGAGAGGACTAAACATATCGAGATTGATTGTCATTTTATAAGAGAGAAGATCAAAGATGGCTTGATCAAGCTTGAATATGTGGGGACCAAATCTCAACTAGCAGACTTACTTACAAAAGGTCTAGGGATTGTACAACATCAATTTCTTCTTTCCAAGCTAGGAGTCCTTGATGTCTTCCATCCTAGATTGAAGGGGAGTATTAAATAATATGGTGGTTTATAATTAGAATTGGTTAAGTCAGTAGTCATGTGAAAGTTGTTATACCAACTTGTATAGTACAAAATTAGTTACAATAATTGTGATGTATAAATAGTTGTAACTTGGATCTGGTTCATATATGAAAACATTTTCTCTTCTTCTTACTTGAAACGCTCTCTATGCTGTAGTCAATAAACCATTGATATGGTTTAACAACTATGCAATTGTGTACACCTGAAAAGCTTGTGGTAGTTTGTCCAAACTTGTAAAATTACTTAACTTATTGCATAAATATAGCCTAAAAATTATTTTACAAATTCTTAGGCCAAAACTCAATTCGCTATACAATATTATACAAGAGATATATACTAACATACAAAACTTTCATATTTTATTTATAAAAAAATGTTTCAAAACGTAATATACATTGTTATATATCCTATATCCAATATTATACAAACTTACAAGGGGTATTTATTTAGGGAAAATTGTATGAAATAGCAAACTATTAATTCAAATTAAATGTTATAGCCATAGTTTATTTTAATTGTAATTCGCAGCAAACATCCCCTTTTCTGCCATCTGATTCGGTATACAATTAGCCATTTTCGGTATACAATAAGCCATTTTATACATTTCGGTATAAAATGTGTTTGTGTTTGTACAAAGCGAGAGAAAAGTGTATATACAAATACATATATTTTCTTCCTATACACTTATAATTATACGAATACAGATCCTATTATACAAATTACAATGTATAAATGAATTTATACAAAACTGAACAATTTGTGTAAAATTGGATGTTTGTAGCGAATTATACAAATCAAAAGTTCCATAGCAAACATACAATTTGCTATAGAGCGTAATTATACAAACTATAGTTATAACAAACAAATATGATTTTTATGTTTGATATATGTGAAAGTTGCTCATTTATTTATCCATATATAATAATATACAATTTTATATACTATGATACAAAAAATTGACTTCGTCTTTTTTTCTAGAATCTAAGCACCATATTCATCCAGAAACACCTCAAAAAGTACCCCAAATTTTCTAGAATTTCAGATTTAGGCTCTTGAAAGTTGAATATCGATCTTTTGCAACAATATCCATTTGAAACAGAGCTTGTTTGCGAAAAATTGATTTTCAAACTTTAAAGCATTGAACTTCAACAATATTTTGGACACCAATCCTCTATCAACAATATTTTGGACACCAATCCTCTATCGAGTTTGAGAAATAAAAATTAATAAGAATATATTGTTAGCAATAGTGGAGTTTCATTATGAAGAAAGATTAAAAAAAAGTGTTATTGATAAGTTAATTGAAGTGGAAATTGAAGGTGATCAATTATTAAGATGATTTTTTGAAATAGAAATCTATACAATATTATTTTTGTGATAGAAGGTAGCAAAATAAGGTGTCTTTTAATTTGGGTTTATGGAAGAAAAATTAACTAGAATAATCTGTTGTAAGCAATAATGAAATTTTATTAGGGAGGGAAACATAAAATTGAGTCAATTTAGATAAGCATTAAAAATCTTGACTAAATTATGTAATAAACTTAACGAATTGCACTGTAATGTAATGATCTCATAAAAAAAATTGCTTACCCAAAAAGAAGCTTAAAATTGTTCTTCCATATTAACATTTCATTGTGAAAACTACCATGAAGTCAGAAAATCAACAACAATGGAAGGACTTGATTTTTTTAATATTATATTTTACTTTTGAGATCAGAAACTTTTTTTTCATAAATAACAACTAACTATTTTTTAAATTGAAATATTATGATTTAATCTTATTTAGTAACGATTTTTAACACTCCTATATTTATAAATGAAAATAAATAAATATATAGGCACTCAATTCCTAATATTTGATTATTTTAATCGTAGCTTGTTTCCCATGTGGGGAAAAAGAAATATATATGAAACATTAAATATTAACTGTCCAGCACTAGAGGCAGACAACTTAACGTGGCACGACCTCTTCCCGGCGGATTCAGAATTTTTACTTAAATGTTCAAAAAAATAAAAATGTAATCCTTAAGGTTTGAATATAGTAAACTCCCTCAATCATTAATCTAATCAATAATCTTACATTTAAGATTCAAAATCTATGTATATGCATTACAAATTTTAAATATATATAACTTTTTGCATAAACCCCGAGATCCTATTATAGTGCAAGCAATAATAATTGCACTATTAAATAAAGTTTACGTGTAATAGGTGATTACGTATAGCAATTTTGACACACAAACATAAATCATCTAATAAATTAGATAAAAGTATATTATTAATGTAGATTTTCTTTATGGTATTTTAATTGAAAATAAGTTATAGATATCTATCAGTATCGACTGAATTTTCTCAGGGGAGGTCATTAGGGGTACAACTTTATTTTGTTTGTTATAAAGTACCTTTTTATAGCTGCCAAAGGATTTGTGTGCTCAAAGGTAAACAAACCCCTTTTTCTCTTTCAAATACTGGCCCCAAATATTGTGCTTTTTCCTTGCAATTATTGATGGCTACCCAAACAAGTTATCATATTTTGCTTTCTTTTCTTCTTCCTTTCTTATTATGGACATTATCCAACGAAGTGTCAATTGATCATGTGTAATTTTGTATGATTATTTTATTTAAAAATTTAAATGGTTAAAAAATAGGAAAAATTACTGAAATGCACGTTTTATGTTTCTCTTATTTCTAATATTCCCTTCTATTTCTAAAAATTTCTAAAATCCTTTATTTCTCTCCTAATTCTAAATTATTCTATAATGTATCCGATCTAGTTTTTAATGTATCCGAGCTATTTTTTAATGTATTCAAGCTACATATTATGTATCCAATTTATTTTATAAAGTATCCGAGCCACATATTATGTATCCGGTTTGTTTTACTTTTTCAGGGATTAATGTAATTACAAACTAAATAGGGATAGATTGTAATTTCATATTAAAACTATGTGATTCCTAAAATTTATACAAAAAAATAACATACTTTTTATCTATTTAGTTTTGTCATCCAAAATACTCGTAGTCATTTGCGATCCAAACTCCCTTTTTTGTTTTGTGAAACACATACAAGTTTTTATTTCTAGCTGATATTAATATTCTTACCAATTTTTATACAAGTTTTAAAATTATTTATATCAGATATAACTATTATTCTCACCAACTAAAGCTATAGTAATTGATTTTATAATTCTTATCTTTCTTTAGATCATTTATATCGAGAAATACATGCTCAACGTGAGGAGATTGTCTATATCATGAGGGAGGATTATATTAAAGAGTCGTACATTACAACTCAAGTTCAATTATTTTTTACTGGACTAAAGTTCGATTAATAAATGTTGTAAGTATCTTTTAGGATAGTTTTGTGATAGTGTATTATACTTATATTATGAACTTTTGTTTATTTAGTAAGATTGTATAAATAAACTTGGGCTATTTTGATAGTTATCACAACTATGGGGTTCTTATTATTATGAGCAAAATAATACAACTTAAAAAATACAAATTGTATGTCCAAACAAAGTTTCAACTTTATCTCATATGATTTCATATCATAATTATTTCCTCTCACATGGCCAACCGGGCATCATCAATAACTGTCTTTACTTTTTTAAAACTTTGTATCCAATCAAAACTGGACAAACAAATTAAATTAGAGAAAGCATTATCTTATTCTAATGCGCGCTTAAATCGTTAAAGAAATAATATTATTGTTAGTAATTATTTAACCATGTCTTCAACAAATTATGATAGTAGTGAATGTTATTGAATTAATTTATTTGATTTAACAAAATATATCACTACATTAGATTTTGGAGACTTACACGCTGTCATTTTTAGACTTTACTTATGAGATTACACGGTTGTACGTTCAACCGAACTGAACAACCATCACTTTCTCATTTTCACACGCAAGAAAGAAAAACGAACTCTTTCTATGGTTCTGTTAATTTGTCCAAACATGCACACACAATACCGTTTTAATTGGCAAAGCAATTGTATACCTTGTGTTTATCAAAACATAATTTTTATATTCGTGTAACACACCAAAATGTGTTTTGAAACAAAAATATTCAAAGGTAGTTAAACTCTTTTTTTTCAAAAATTATTTCAACGGCCACTAATAAGTTTGGTAGGGTGAAATTTTACATCTTAGAGACGACCATATCAAAACCAATTGGAAACCTTATTTGCTTATGATTAGTCTAATAATTCTAGTGCAAAAATTTCAGTACATAGGATTTTATTTTTATTGATGACCATCATGGTGGTCCGAATCAGCTTCGCATAT